TATATATATAGGCTGTTTTCAATCATTTTTACCTTTTGAGTGTATGACCGATATATGCGTGTCACAACATCGTCCGAAAAGAGGTCTAAGGGATGTACCGTATGTTTTTGAGATGTGGCACACAGGCGTATGGCAAATTTTTACAAGGACATGCTATTGAATGAGGAGTACCTGTGTGTAATTGGGTAGAGAGGTAACTGTCGTTTACTGTGAAAAGGGGAGACAAGCGGGTAGGACGAGACGTACACACCAGATTGGGTGATGTAGTTGCGAATTTATGTGTGGAAACAAGTCACACATGTTGGGACACAATTGGAAATGTGTGGTAAACGTGTCGTGGAAACGTTACTGTGCAACAAATAATCCGGCTATGGACACAAGTGTTTCATAGTCAACGAGTATTTTAACTTAGAGATTGTATGCACATAGAGCGTCTTCGAGAGAGAAAACATAAATTAATGATTCTTCCCAATAAACATCTGAAATAGGGCCCCACCGATGCCGTAGTCAGTGGCATATGCCTTCAGCTCCAACGGAATTTCGTCAACGGGATCTTTGAATTGCGGAAAACATCACTTCCGTCATCTGATCTCACGCCAATTGATGCTCTGGTTTCCAGCGGCCCTCAAATAGTGTCTCCATAGGCACCAACTGAGAAAATGATCGAAGTCGCACCACCTTGTGTGCAAAGTTTAGCAAATGTTCATGGAGGAAGTTCACTGATCCCAGTGCCGAAGAAATATCTCTTTTACGCCGAATGATAGACCAATCGATCAGACGATGTTGCTTTTCATTTGGTGCTGACGCCTTCTTAGCCAATACCATGACCACTCGAACTGCAAAGTCACATTTCTTCTGACTTGGTTTATAAATATTCTCCGGCAGTCGACGCATCATTTCCTGCACTGTCTTCAGATGTCGTCGTAGCTATCCAATGTAATAATTAGTCCCCAACATAGCAATGAACATCGAGGCTGGCCATTAAATTACTAATCATACGTTGGAATTATGTAGTGAGTGTGGTCAAGCCGAACGGCGCTCGAACATTGTTCATTGTCCCAAGTGAATGAGAAAGTGTGCTGCAAGTCACAACAGACAGTTTGCTCTTCAGATTGCTATTAATCTCGTTGACTTTCAGGGGTGTAGATTGATCAGGTACGTGTGCGTCGTTCTATCGCTACAGGTGTAAACGATGGTACTGCCAATAAGGGTAAATTGGCCATATACGATGAGTTGCGTCGCTTAGTCACTCGTCCCCATTTCTACTTCTGTATTTACCTGCTGTGTGACATGTGATGTGTATTTGTCAGACACAAAACCCAACAGTTTGTTACCCTAACGCATAAATTGTTTTGGATCCATGATCGTATCGTTGGCTTCGAGATAACGTGATAGCCGTTTCCGAACGCCGCCTCTCTCTATGAGGTCGAATGCTACCCACAACGGTATCAGCTTCATCAGTTCGTCCTTAGCTTTGCGGTGAAGTTTTATGAACGGGCACGACAACCTCGTTATTTCCAAAATCAGATGTCCCATGACAATGTTCATTCCAAGAATAACAATAATATTTTCTAGTAGATTCGAAAGTTTGAAGGTCTCTTCAAGTCAGTACATAGTCATAATAATCGATGTGCACTGTCTGACACTTGCCTGCCGGGGATACGCAAGGATTCGTCCGCTAAATAAATATAACTTTTGTATTACACAAATACCCTACGCACAAGGCTCGTAGAATAGAAGGCAACGTGCACAGCTATAGACTCAAGACATACATTGATCCCCTGTATCTAATGACCGACCAAACATGGTGGCAGCTGGGCTGATATCGCAGAGAGAACTACAGACTCATACCGTAGCATGTTTCAGAACTAGATGTCAAGTTCGATGAAATGTTCAGTGTATGCGATCGCTATCATCTTTTTGAAGGATTTGGCGAATTTCCTGGGTACGATAATTTAAACCTTAGCTTTGTAGGGCCGGTGGTAGAATTCAAATCCGAATTGTTCCATACGCGTTTACTCAACTTGATCGAGTGTATCAACGCGCACAGGCGCACGTGACTGCGCACGGTGCTTCGCCCCTGAAAATATTCTGTTACGGCGTCAAGAGCTACAGGTACAGTTTCCGACATCACTGATACATAAAAGCAAATCACAGCGGCGCCATTACACCAACAGTGGCGCGCAATTAAAAGCCTTCGTCAAACAATCCACGAGTGACAACGGCCAGCATGAAGGATTTTAGAGGCTTAGGTCTTTGGTGCCGTCACGAGGACAACATGGGTCGCGTACACTTTCACTTCTTTAGAGATGCGGTTTGCCAACGATTGTGGGGGTTCGTCTTCAACTACGTCCACCAGTGCATCCCGGGATCCCGCTACAGAAGGAACTAATTGACAAATGTAATGCATTGGGATTACCAGGACTACGTCATGTGAATACAACGAGGCCGGGTATTGGAGAGTTTGTGGCCCCGGCTCGACCAATTCCCTCACAGGTAACATTTGGTATACGTGAGGGCAAACAGTTCACCAAGCCCTCAACTTGGGCGAACTGCGGCACAGGATAATAGAGGTTGCCGCGGTAGTGACCGTGGACGAAACACGAAGCGGTGTACATACAAGACTGTGTTGATGAATATACCGACCCGTCAATAGGATATCATCGTCAAAAAATGGCGTATTGCCTCGGCCTGTTGGAAGCGACATCTTTCGGGACACTAGAGTGCACTGTCTGCAGCAGGCCAAATTTGGAAAACATGTATGAGAAACTATGCTAAACAAGCTAGCGCTGAAACTACGACAAAGCGTGTTCCAAGCTCAGAAACAAATCGAGTATGATATTGTAAATGTAGTTATTATATACGCGCGTGAATGACATCGGGTACCAATGAGAGATTATTGTTTTATTGGGCGATGATCAATTCGGTCACGAGCAGAAGGGGATACCATGAGTCGGTACCGGCTTTATGACGCTCTTAAGCCGTCACTGATGAGTTCTGAACGAGATACTGCTGCCCAGTCCGTCACCAGAAAGGAAGGAAGTCATATTACAATAGGGGCTACTACTACCTGCATTGTACCTGCCAATCTTTGCGGAGTAGTACTGCCGGGACAGCCATGCTACGTAATTTTATCAAAAGAATGATCCTAGGCCGAGTCGTTGATATATTTTGAAAGCTGTGGATCATCGCGCAAAGCGAGGGGTTGGTATAACATGTAGCAGATATGATAGCACGCCACACGTGATGGGCCGAGCGGAACTTCGAACAACCTTTGTTTGTACATTAAGGATAAAAGCAGGATAATTTTGGTTCATCAGTCGGTGTCGGGATAGAAAACCTTTCGATTTAATAAGTGGGAGGCGTGGAAGACCTAAACTTAAACCCACAGGGATGATCTAGCGATGCGCTGCTAACTCCTGCAAGCTCTACGATCCTCAATGCAATGCCGCTTGGCGCACATCAAGAGAACAACGGACAGCTGTGACTAGAAAAATAGTTTGTAAACTCTAGAGCTTGTCTATGCCCTCAGCGAGGGCAGACTCTGAGCTGCATACAATTTTGATCAAGACTTTAATATCCTGAACAAAGCGGATTTTTCGAATATAAAAAGGTTTACTAAGTGAAGAAATTGCCAGAAACAGGGCGGTTCGGGTGGTAAGTGCTATCACCATTTTCTAGTATCGGCGAGATGACATTTATTATTTGGGCTAATATAGAGGGCCATCATCTCCTCAGGGTATCTACTAGCGTCAGACACAAGCGGGGATGAATGATGAGCCGAAACCGGGTGGAAGTCATCATAAATGAAATTATAGTTGCCAAACAACAAATGAGCTGCTTGCGACACTCATGTTCGCCGTCTATTGCACTCCCGCAAAATCAATAGTCATAAAGATCTCCTGTACTTTACCCAACAGAATAATTTGGTCTAACTACCAATACTCATGCGCTAGAGATGCGAGTATAGTTAGTGGTCGAGCCCAACTTTACTAGAAAAAATTGGGTACAATTTGCAGAGCACCTTTGGATTTATCCGAAACGACAAGACCGCATCCCTATCTAGTACGTACACCATTTTCGTCAGTTAATTCTGTGCTTGGAACACTACGGCCTTAGACGAGTATTCAAATTTGAAACTGTTCTCACCAACTTTGATTGCATCTTGCCGCCGCAGCTGGCACCCTATACCAAAGGAGTCGACGACCCTGTTGAACACTTCTTTGTGGTCGGGGAAAAGCATCAATCCGACCGATACACGCAAATTTCACATGGCTTTGATTCAAGGGAACGACGTTGTACCTGAAGAGCTCTATTGAAATTTAAGTGATCTTATTCACAGCAATACTATACGGCCCATCAGCACGGCTTGCCGGTGACCACATGTTGGATCGTGCATGTTCTTGTAACGGGCAGCTCAAAAAATTGTGAAAAGAAACTATTGTTTGCCACAAATTAGGTTGCTCTTCACCATCAATACAACAACGAGCATCTCCCGTTCTCGCAAGAAAATCCGATCGACTCAGTGCGCTCTGTTGTGCCGAGTCCGAGCTATGAGTGCACGACATCATATTCAACTACACATAGAAATACGAACGATCAGGCTATTCTCTTGCGACTCCTTGTCCTTGATCCTTCAAACTTGTGTGTCTCGCTAAGCTCAAATCCACATACTCACACTCATCTGAGAATCGGGTCGATGCGGTACAATTTAGTCCAGCTTCACTACGTTTTCACAGATATCCAAATACTATTGACCTTAACCCTTCTTCTGCGCCTCCTTGCCCTGGAATTTCCTGAGGACGTTGAACATCTCCAGACCGGTAAGTTCAGCCACTTGCTCGGCTTTCTCGACACTTAAAGCCTTCCGGTCTCCGTCTATGTTGAAAGCATTGGCGTCTGCAGCTTCCCCCCCTTTACTTTTCCCTTTAATATCAAAGGTCAGCCAATCATCGTTCTCCGACCAATTGAATGGGTCCTTACTATAACGGTCTGTCATATCACCTGTGCTCAAGGTCGCTATATGGCCCTGTCTTTCATCGTCGCGACTGATACCAGACTGAACATCATCTGACCCGCCAGTCCGCACACTCTCCAGCCCAATGATGAGGTCATCCACAACCGACGGCACCGAAGAAGCAGCTGGCATGGCCGACACATACGGTGAGTCGAATAGCTCTTCCAGGAACTTCCCTTCAGACTGATCCCTAGAGCTGTCCTGCTCGGGGTGGTACCCCTGAAGGCTCTCTTCACCACTGCGCACGTGAGTGGGTGAGATGGCAGTACCGGCGCGTGACTTCAGATTCGATTGCGATAGTGTGTCCATCATTTCCTGATTCATATCCGCTACCGCCTGGGCAATATCTTTCTCTGTGGGTATCTTTGTCCAGTAGCCATCGGGCGTTAAGCTTGCCTCTAGCTCTAGGTTGCTCTGCATGGTCTCGGGTAGCTCGAAAGCCTTGTGTACCAGATATCTACGTGCATGGACCCGTTCTATTGCGGCCTTGTCCTCGACGTACAGAGTGGACTCTGCGACAGCCGCACTGAGTTCCTCGATGTGAACGCGTTCTACCTCATCCGGAGAAATCAGAGGCCCACTGCCACCCAGATTCTGATACACCCGCATGATACGAGCGTATTCACTGGAGCGCCCAAACTTCTGCTCCATACCTAGTGTTGAAATAGCACATCAATGTCAGACTACAATGTTGGGAAGACAACCGCCGAGGTGGATGCCGACTAATCGACTCATACAATTTTAAAACTGGGTAGACATTTCTCGCATACCCCCAATTTCTCAATATGTCCGGGATGGATTGACGGTGATTGAACACAGCCATATCCAAAGTGTCGGATTGCAACCACAAATACGCAAGATAAAACATAACGAGACAGGTTACACAAACAATCACTAAACGAAAACACGCGATAATACATACGGCGACAGGCTATGGAAACAAAAACCAAGCACATATTACCCAACAGAACCATAAGCGGTCGAAGAGACACGGATACCGCGAATACGCAATCGATGAACAACCCAAAGAACAGCTGGCACGTGTACATGCACATGCGCAGACGTGAAACTACGCACCTCCCAATCCTGAACGCAGAGCCTCCAGGTAAGACGGTCTTCGCATCGAATGTTCCGCAGTGCCCCATTGGCAGACGCGTACGCTCTCCACAGCTTCCAGAGCTACATCCAAGCGGTCCATCTCCACACACATCCGTAACACAACGTTCAACACGGACGAGGGTGGCGGCATGTAGGTATTTGGGCCTCGACTGGCTAGTCTCTCCTCGGCAGTCTGTTCAGCGCCACTAATGTGCTCGGAGAGATGCGCCTTGAACAACTCCAGGGCCAGGTACTTGATACCATCGTCCCACAGTGCATCGACCGCATCGGGCAGCAGTGACACCCCGTGCTCATTGCGCGCCTGGCGAAGCATGAATGGCAGTCGGTCCAGTCCGAACTTGGTGCGCTGCTTGGTCGACTTCATCGACTTCGTCGCATTGTCGCCCTTAACCGCCTTGGCCGCTCTGGTCCCCACATGCCTGCGGATGTCATCCAGATTCACATTGCGCTCCAGCGCGTCGCGGGCCCACGCGGTGTAGTCGTCATCCGCCACCCCATCGCTGACACTCGAGTTGCCCAACATGGGGAACGACAGGCACGCGCTAATCAGCGACGCCGTCCCTTTCTCCAACGCCCCTCGATCCAGTACAACGTTGCTGCGCAGCTTGTTGCCACCACCAGGCGGTTCAACTAAACCCACAGACTGCACCTGCTTCTTGCCCTGGGCTGGCCGTGCTTTGGGCTGCATTTCGGTCCACAGAAAGTGCGCAAAGTTCGGGACACACCGGTCCACGCTGCGCGGCCGGTGCGTCACCGCCAGGGCCGCCGCGCACACGCGGTAGTGGTGCAGAGTACCCAGCTGCTCCCCTGAGAGGTAAGTATGTGCTGGATCGGGCATCTTAGCCGCCGGGCTTCGGCTGAGCGTATCTAGAAGCAGCTTGACCTCGTACTCGATCACGGCACACTCGGCGAGCGCACACGCCATGTCCACGTCGAGGTCTACACTGCACTTGTTGAGCAAGCGTAACAGCGGCTCCAGCCGCGTCTCGGCGTCGGCGTCGTATGCGGCGGGGGACTCCGCGCAGCACTGGGCCGCCCATAACCTGTATGGTATGGTGTGGTATGCGTGACAATATCAATGCTCTACGTACTGGATGACGCCTAAAGCTATCAATAACCTACAGGATGCTTTATGCGTGACAAGTTAATAGGTGCGTGATCAGTGTTTTGTGGCAATACCAGTATTCAACATACTATATGATGCGTAAAGATATCAATAGCCTCTTTGTGAATTATACCTTATTTGAAGGCAATAGCCTGGCCGCACATGAAGAGACAAAATAACAACATGACATTCGCTTGGCGACTGCGGGAACGGCCAAAAGAAAGTATAAATTTACATGCCATTGGTAACTTCCCAGGAATACAGCAGCTGCAATACATCCTCTGGAGAAGATGTATTTCCAACAACTCAGCTTTCGCCACGGGGTGTGCGGATTACAAACACATACACACACACACACAAGCCCTTGCCAGCACAAATAGTATTCTGACACGGTGCTCATGAGGGGGTTTACGAATACAGAACTAACGGACGGTAGCCATCACACAATTCACGAAGCAATGACCAAATCAGCTTCACATTAGGGCGCAGGACAAACAACATACGTGACTGTCTTAGTCAAGTCGGAATCGTGCGCGGACGCTTTGAACACCTCCTCTAGCTGTGGGACATATTCGGAAAGATCAGAACAGGGTTGAGTAATATATGTGAAGTGCATAGGCGGTAGAAAACACTTAGTATCGTTACACCAACACATTTTTCCTCTCCCACATCCGGTAGAGCACGCATGACCAGCATTGACGATACTAAACTTCACTACGAGATGTTAGGCTACAAGGCAACACCAGGTGTCCGCAAAGTAGTCGCCAAGAATGGCGTGGGATGTAAAACCCTTGCCATGTTCCGTCTGGCGTTCCCAGAGGGCTAAAACAGTACAACGTCAAATGCAACGCCTAAATCAGCGCGCGGGATTTATCAATCTGAGATCAACCCGAAGGTGTCAGTCACCCCAACCGCATGGAACAAACGCGGTGCATTTGTATTGTGTACTACGACGATTACGACTACTTCCGACATTTCATATGCACACAAAAGATAACACAAAAGCAGGGGGTTCTGGTATATCTTACCAATACGTTGTTCGGCACGGTGTGGTGTGTGTGCTCAGACTTCATCACTCGGAAGAGCATCTGAGCTCGGCGAGTATCAGCGCCAGAATTATCCACAGTGCTTCGTCGCGCCAACCACCGACTATAAACCCACGCACCAGCCCCCTCTCGCACATAGGGAAAGCGGGCCAGCATATTCAGCATGGTCTCGTACACCGATTCAAAGGGCTTTGTGCGAACTATAGTCCTGTTGCTGTCCTGTATCTTTTTCTCCATGCTATGGACCAGGCTCAGCGCCATGTCGACAGCTCCGGAGGGCTCCAGGCCGTGCACGACAACCGCCAGAGTGCTGCTGTCTGGTCGGACATCGTCGTCTCCCGCCTCCATGCGTGCGATAATCTAATTTGTGGTGAAGAGAAGTCAATCGTATAAGTTAGAAACTCACTACTATTGATATAATTATATATATATATATATATATATATATATATATACATAACACACACACACATATATAGATACTAATATATGCGTAATAAAAAGGTCGTTGCAGCGTGTGAGTGAGGTGTGAATATACAAAAAGTGGATATAGAACTCGACACACTGCGCCTGGTACATTACAGCCAGAGAAAGTACAGGACACTTAAGTAAACACACGGCATAACAACGCCTCCACTCCAAATGACCATCTCATGACGCGTCATCTTTCAACCCACACACACCTCCGTGACAGCCTGCAGCTTCACCATGAGCGATCCGTTCGGACTGTCCGGATCCAGCGTCGCGCCAATCAGCACATGGTACCACTCCTTGGGCATCGGCAGCTTCAGCGCCTTCACACACTTGTACAGTGCCATAATGCCACTCACAGGCACATGGGCGCTTTGGCTATCCGAGTTGTCTGCGAGCAGGCCGTTCCTTAATGGTTGGGAGAGGAGAGCTATCGCACTGTACGATGAGAGCCCCATGGCATTGTCGGCGTCTGCCAGAGCGGTGGCCTGGTTCTCGCGTCGCAGCCGTTGCTCCTCTGCAAAGGGTGCAAAGGAATTGTCCAGCAACTCCCGAACAACCTGCAGGGCAAATGTGTAAACGACGAAACACAGTGAGACGTCTCAAAACATGAGCTGTATAATTCCAGGTACTAACGAAGAAAAAACAAGGACACTCACAATGTTCTATATTACTCGAGGTTACAGGATTCGTATCAATCCCGCTTGGGCTGTGAACTCCTTATATTCAGGCGTTTTCATTGCGTTGCGAGTAGTGAACATTTAAAAGTAGATATAGTGTGCAAATATATATTCCTTTGCCAATGTTACAGAATAGCTATCGTTCATTTTATACGTATAAATGGCTGTCAAAATTTAAGCGGCCGTAAGCAGCCCACACTAAAACGACACAGATGCCCGATAGGATCCAGCAAAATATATCTCATGGACGCTAAAAGAATTGATTTGAACTATGTATTTAGCGACCACACCTAATACACACATGGTCCATGTTTTAAAAACCTTGTTGTTAAATTCTCCAGTCGCGAGATAGGGTGATGGGCGAAAACCTTAAATTTCAAACTCCGCAACCCCAACCAGTGCAACCGATGTATAGATGTCGAATACGTTATCGCCAGATTTTAACCATAGCCGCTTTTTACAACACATTCATCATATCGGAGCCATGACACACACCTTACTATCAAACTCTAAGTTTAGATGGTCCATGTACATCAGAGCTTGCATGGCCGAGTCTCGCCGGCCCCTCCGCACCAACGTTTTCAGGTATGCACTCCATATTTCTTGGCACCCTTGGCTGCCTTCACTCGCGTGCTGTAGCAGCCATCGCGAGAACTTGCCACATTCGTATTCGTTGTGGAAGATATACAGACTGTCGTGCCGTCGTAGTTCTTTGAGCCCCTACACGAGTTCGAGAAAGGCGGGTTCGGGTTTCTGAACTCAGATATTCGGTACGAATTCAATGCAGATCCGTTTTTTAACAATGCCCCACGTGTAAGCGCAAGAGATGTTCAATTTCAGATTCGCAAGGCACACTGATGGTCGCATTGTTATGAAAGATGATAAGGGTACAACTGAGTAGGCGATGTGTATTTAATTCGTACGTGGGTGGGCACTACAGTATCGTTGTACCACAAGCAGAGGAAGCAATACTCAACAGTACAACAAACAGTAGTCCACACACACGCACAAATAAGCACCTACCAACTCCAAGCGGTATTTCTTGGCCATGTACTGCAGCATACCGCCGCGCACCGACTTGACAAACCATTGCTCAGTGATAGGCTCTCGCAGCCACAAGCGCAGCAGGCGGATCATCAGATCGTTGTCGAGTGTGTGGTCTCTGAACCGGGTGATGTCAATGAAGTATTGCACAGACAGAGCCCGCAGTCTGAGAGAGAACGAGGACGAGGGCGAGGATATGTATGTACTGTTGAGATCAGGCTGGCACTTGTGGGCGATGATAGCGGGGACGATATAAAATAGGGAAGGCGTGTGTTGTGGTATATACCTACTACCCTGATAGAAAGCAGGTGATGGGTTTAGGGAGTGACCCAACTTTTAGGTTGTGTCACCGATCACCACGCTCAGAGGTACAGTGACAGCTGATCAGGTCATGTGACACTCGCACAATGACGCGAACGACACAATGCATGCAGCGATGCGTCTGTGTAGAGAAAGTTATCCCACAAACATCTGACAACAAAAATCCCACACAAAAAGTGAGCACCAGTCATCCAGTCATCAGCCCACATCCTCCTCAGATGTTCTGACCAACAAAAAAACCGTCCCAGTTGTGACGGGGATTCACCTACCTGATCTGGAATGTTGGATCGCTCGTGTTGTGGTACACCCACATGCAGTGCTCGATGAGATCGGGCATGTCGGTCCACTGCCGCCCGTCTGCCACACCCTTTAAGCGCAGGACCAACAGACTCCTACGGAGGGTGAAGTATGGCCCAAACATCAGCACTATATCACTCGGGTGTGAAAACTAATGAATTGAAGCATCACTAACGGTAGATGGTATGCTCCGATGGGTTGTTTGTGGGTGATGGAAGGGAGGAGTGGAATAGACGACGCAGGACCATCCTTCGCCACATACACACACACACCCAGCAAAATACGCCCCCACAGCTACCATAATACACGAGTGGCAAATATAACACTCTTTCAATTGGATGCACCAGCCTAATCTTCGCATGATTCCTATTCAAATCCAATATCAAACACCAACCCACGCGGGAGCAACAGGCACATACCAGTACGTCCACAACACGTTGTGGTTGGATCTTGCGATCTGGCACACTACCTTCCACTCTCTGCTTGTGAGGCCATGCGTCGCATACACATCCGCCTGTAGCAGCGGTGTGGACCAGTGGTTGGCGTACCGAAATGTGTTCTCTAGTAGTCCGCTTACGTCCGTTGACGTTGGCAGGGGTACCGTCTCGTCGTCGATTGCTGCGAGTGGGTGAGAGGTGAGACCACGCAGGTGTCAGTCAGGCAAGCACGCCGCGATGCAGCACAGTAGATACATGTCGGAGACATACACAGGATTGTAAAACGTGCTGAATGTTCTTGGTGCTGGGGGGGTCTATAGGCTGCAATTTGTGTGGGTGTAGACCACCTGCGCTCCCGAGTAAATCTGATGCTCGATTAGTTTGGAACGAATCCCCAGCCTCCCCCGGTGTAAGGCACAAGGTAGATACCGTGCAGGAGTGTATGAATAACTGAGCTCTATCGATCGCCCACGCGAACGGCAACCAGAAAAGTACCCGCTACCATGCGCCATGGGGAAACACACACGGCATGGGAAGCGGGCAGGACTACAGGTGGGTGTGTGGGCTGAATGTGACAAGCAAGCACTCATTGCACGGCCCACGGTACACCCACAGTACACCCACGCCGAGTCTATATCGGTCGTGCTGCTACATACACCCAGCTGACTACAGTACAAGTACAGCGACTGCTACGTGCTTGGTGTGACGTTTGCGGGTATCTGAATAGGAGGCCTAAGAAAACGCCGCAATACCTTAGTGAGCTCTATGCCTGTGCAATCACGCATAGACAAATCAAACGCACGGCCAACACGCATGTGCGTAGATACTTAGCGTTCAGAAACATAGAGTCCACTCAAGGCACACATGAACCAACAAATGGGCAGGGTTTCAGTATGGTATACAGACACAAAATAAGGAGGTATATCGTATTTGAGTTATCCAGGCACACACACGGTTAGTATTATAAACTAATAATGAATACAATGAAATAGTGTAGAT